CCTGGCTGGGCGCGCACGCGGCCGGGCGTGCAGGCGCTGCAGGCAGAGCAGACGGAGACCTGTGGCTCGCTGGGCGCAGCGGCTCTGCTGCTCTTCGGCAAACCCCTTGGTCTTAAAAAAAGCAATCGCATTGAAAGAGCTCGAATTAATTACCCACCTCGGCTTTGGCAAATTCTTTTGGGGGGATGAAGCACGTGTGCATTGGCAAGGTCCCTTCGAAGACTGTTACAAAGTGTGCCTTGCGACCCCAGCTCGCTTTTCTTTTCTTTTTTTTTTTCCTTCTGCTTTCTAAAGAGTGGAAATTTCCATCATGTGATAGGGGGCAGCATCCCCAGCCTCTCATTTCTTCCTCCCCCCTCCCTTTTCCTAAACGGCCACCAATAGTAGTGAGCCAGCAACCTGAGATGTAAACAGAAAAAAGCATCCCCGCCTCCCCAGGTGGACATGTCCAGCTGTTCTGAGCCTGGGAGAGACCAGGGGTGAACATGCCTGGGAAGAGAGGTAGCTATTTCCTATACACAGCAGAAGTGACTCGGTTCCAAGTGACTTCATGCTGTGTTGCAGTTTTAACACAGGGTTTAAAAGGCATCGGCTTTGTTCCTCCTTTTTATTGTACCTCCTGGTATTTGTACATAGCTGCTCTTTCCAGAAGGCACATCTGATGCTGTGATATACTAGAAGCTGGACAAATTGATGTCTAACACTTCTTCATAAATGCCTGTCAACAGAGATGGGAATGAAAATGAGCCAAGGAAAGTTGAAAAGGATTTTTATTTTTTAGCCAACAGTAGTGAGGCACAGCCCACTCATGTCTCTTTTAATTAAACTTACTAGGCCTCTAAAATATTACTTTGTGAACTTTATCAATTTTTGACCCTGCCATGGTAAGACCACAGCTGGAGTACTGCATCCAGTACTGGGGACCCCCACTTCATGAAGGGTTGGAGAAGCTTGAGAGAGTCCAGAGGAAAGCCACTCGTATGATCCAAGGCCTGGAGGGCAGGCAGGAGAAGGAGAGGCCGAGGGACTTGGGACTCTTCAGTCTGGAGCAGAGAAGGCTCAGGGGGGACTTGGTGGCAGCCTACCATTACATAAGAGGGGTACATCAGGACCTGGGAGAAGAGCTGTTCACCAGAGCTCCTCAAGGGATAACAAAGTCTGAAAGCCATAAACTCCAGGAAGGCTGATTTAGACTAGGCATAAGGAAAAAGTTCTTTACAGTGTGTGTGTCCAGGGTCTGGAACAAACTCCCCCTAGAGGTGGTGCAAGCACCAACTCTGGACTCTTTCAGAAAACAGGTGGATACATTTCTTGTTGGGGTCACTTGATCCCAGCTGACTTCCTGGGGGGGGGGGCTGGATCCGATGATCTCATGAGGTCCCTTCCAGCCCCTAATGTTTATGAAATCTATGTTCAGTCAGGATGCTATCAAACTTAGCCTCTTCTGAGAAAAACACTGTTACTTGCCAAATAAGCAAGTGAGAATGCTGGTTGCTTAAATTTATGTTGCTAAAGTTCCTGTGACAGCATAACTTGATAGGTGGCCTATTAACCACGGAGGGGTATAATTTGTGTAAGCTATCAGGGCAACATACTCATCTCCTTAGTCCTTCTCAGTGTGATGAGATCCCATTAATGACATATATACTCAATGTGTACATTTTATTAATGCAACATGATAAATGCCATCAAAATGCCATTTTGATGAGCTGTTCATGCCTCAGGTAGTTCTGCCCCTGCACTATTTGGATGGCCGCCTATTTGCCTTTGCTTTCTTTCCCATTTCTTGCTGGCTGGAGTCACTTTAGACTGATAAGGTTCATTGAGTGTCCACCTTCCTCCCCATGGGAGGATGTCAGGGGCTTATCAATGCATGATAAAGACCTTTCCATTCCTGGTAAGAGCGTTCATGTTCCTGAACTCAAAATAACTTGTAAAACTCTAGTTTACTTGTTATGGACTCTGCTTGTC